GTTTTGAAGATTTTAAAATGAAAAAATGCAGCTTTGCTCAAGACATTGCTGTTAAATACGCTTTCACTTGATTTCTAGCAGAAGTATAGATATTTTCAGTGGGACTTTTTTCGATCGCTTCTCTCTTTTCATGCATTTTAATCTTCTTTAAAGCTGTTTTGAAACAGATACATCAAATTTCAATTTCAAGAAAGTGATACAAAAAAACGTTTTCTGTTCTTTTGATGACTAAATATCGTTCTTCAAAATTGATGATTGAAATTGAAAATGGAATTGAATGAAATCGATTAAAAGCCCCTTGCGTGCAAAAACCGTCGAAAATTTATCTATTTTTTTCCCTTGCACTTTTAGATTCAACAAATAATCTCTCAATTTTCAAGTCGTAAGCGATTTGTTTCCCTCCTTATTGTTCAAATTAATTAGATTTGAAAATCACCCAAACCCGCGCCATTTCAAAATTTGATTAATTGTTTAGACTAACTTTGGATAGCAGTTCACCGGATTCAAGATATTATACGCAACATTTCGACTAGAACTTGCACAAAAAAACAAAATTGAAAATGCTATTCCAATGCATTTCGGAAACGCAATGAAACTTGATGAACCAGAACGCATGATATACTGTTTTTCACTTATGTCCACTTTTTTTTCGAGTAACACTTTTACATTGTATCTTACTCCAGATTGGCTTGGCTTAAGTTTCAGTGTCGATATACAATGGAATTGTTGCAAGAGTAAAATGTGTATAGTGGCACATAACTCAAGAAACGAGAATAAAAAAGCAGTGTTATAATCGTACATTTCTATTCAGCGAAATGCCGTAATCATAGCTTTAGCACACACTCACACACACACACACACATACTCGAGATATATTTTCTCTTGACTTGTGTGTATATAAATCAAAAAATTGTTTACTTTGGCAATGTTCGCCGTAAATCGTGCTGTCTCTCATCCATATTGATTTATTTCTGGTTAAGTTTCTGGTGAGCGTGTACAAATTGTACTGTTAAGAAAACGTACCAAGAACGTACTCTAATAAGTATGTTCCCATCGTCTAGCATTGATTATATATAGCCAAACACACATATTCAATTTTGACAACGACGACGGCACACCGACAATTTGTATGTGCTCGTTTTTTCGTTCTCGAATTGTATCTTCTGTCAAATACTGCTAATGATGGCTTTTCAAGTGAGTTTCACTTTTTTCTCTTTAAATTTTCGGCATTTTATCATATTTGCCGACATGAAAATTCATTCGTTCAGGTATAACTTTCTTCTGCTTTCTTCGAATTCGTCGCCACTTGTATTCATCCGTTGTGGTGCTTATTCGCATTAGACAGTCGCTGTAATTCCGTTCAATGTCAGACTGTTATGTTATTCGTTGTGGTACTTGAAAGATGTGCGCACATATGTTGACACGAACACGAATATTTGTTGGCTGCGAAATTTTCGGGCGGACAAGTCGCGAGAAAAGCAATTTATTTGAACGATAGAGAGAGTGAGCACACAAAACAGCCAGACGAAAATATCTATAGAGAAAAAATATGCTTATATATACAATATAACAACCAAATTTCAAATGAAATGAAATCACAGAAATAAATGCGGCGTATTTTTATTTGGTAACCAGACGAACGAATACATATATTCAAATTCAAGTAAATTGGAGCCGAAAACCTATCAAGCGGATTCATAAGTTTCGTGTGCAATTCTTCCATGGATGAAAAGCGCGTGCTCTTTCTTTCTCTCATCGTCCGGCCAACAAATAATTGAAGGTCAAGTGGTGTTCTTTCGCATTTTCTATCTTCGTTCCATTCGTTTGCTGTATGCTTAATGCGTTCAAACGAGCTTTTCCAAGGTATTCAATTCAATTCTTGAAAATATTCAAAAAAATTTCAAAGGTCTTTTTTTTGCAAAAGGTAAATTTTTGGCGGGTCTTGAGTTGATTGAGAATATAAATCTAGTAAATATGCGAAAGGCTAAGATTTGGCTCAACCCAAAATGATTGAGTGTAAGATACAAATATTTGATCATTGAATGGATTCTCTTGCCGTGGGTGCATACGATAAAGCATACATTTTCAAAAGCACTGGGCATCATTGCAAAAATTCTCTTGGTTGTTGAAAAAAAGAGTTTTTTTTTTGTCATTAAAAGATCCAATTTTGATTCTCGACATAATAATTAAGGGGCTTCTTGAAAACGTTAACGTGGAATGGAACAACAGATTTTGGAACGTTCCAACGGCAAAAGCTCTCTTTGAGCTGATTTGTTGTTGGTTTTTTTAAATAAATAGCTACCACCTGTGTTTTGCTATTCTTAGCAAGTGCACGTTTTGACTGTTTGTCGTTTGTGTAGTATTGTTTGGTGAAAACAGTCTCATTGGCACCATTCTATCTCAATGAAGGAGCATTCACCTTGTTTGCTTCAATGTATAGCAGTCAAAGATACGTTTAATTCAAGCCTACAAAGCAAAAATAAGAAGAGAAAAAGTACATGGCTTTGATCGAGTATGTGACTCCAAAAGATGAGATTCTTGGCATTCGTGCATCTTGGGTGTTGTATTGTTTTCCAGCCACTGGGTACATTGTGAACACGGTATCAGTGGGGTGAGTTATCTGGGCTACCGTCAAATAGTTTTGTGATCCCTATATCGTCCCTTTGTTGTTGTTATTTCTCGAGTATAATATTACAGCATGTGTTTGATTGTTCATTTGCTCCATTTTGCAAACGTATATTCGAAATAGCGTGTTTTGTTTTCGTCGCATTCGCCATTGTGTTTGTGCTGTTACTGATTCGCTTGTCATTGATAAATACAAGAGTATGTGGTGTGTGGTGGCTCGGTAAAAATCCATTGTATTGTGACAGTATCACATTGGATAACAGCAAATGCGCCATGTCTCTTTCAATCGCATTTGGCTGTGTAAATGCTCGTACATTCACGCGCTCTCTCTCTTTTCTTTTTTTTTTACTGTGAACATGATTTTTCCTTTATTGTCATTTGGTGTCGGTGTACTCGTGTTCTCTCTGTGACATAAATAGAGAGGGAAAGAGAAAGTGTGTGTTTAGTAAATGAAGATCTATCAGATGCATGTGTCGCACATTGTCACCATCTTGCTTTACACATACTTCTATTTCTCTTTCTCTCTCTCTCCCTCCATGAATGGAATAGATTCCTATCTATGTGTTAGTTTCATTCCGTATTTTTAACAATTTCGTATGAGCTCCTCATCTTATTTGCCATGAACGATTCCTTCTCTCTGGTTCTCGCATGTTTTTGTTTAGTGGAAATATAATACAATACACATGACGACGACGACGACGACGATGATAATGACGACAATAACAATAGCATCATATTTTCTATTGCACACACACTCATCTTCTCTTCGAAAAAAACAACCAAATAGGATACAAAAAAACTGTACAAAAATAAATATAGATCGAGAGAGAGAGAGAGAGAGGGAGAGAGAGAGAGAGAGAGAAAAGAACTAAACTAAAAGCATGTTCGACTGACGAGTTTGTAAGACTAAAAGATTTTTCACTCTATTGTCGCTTAGATGAAGAAAGAGATGAATTCAATACGCGCGACACAACAAAATTGAAAAATTATACAATTACTTCGTATACTGTTTCGAATAAGCTCATCGCTCAGTTTCTCGTTCTCTTTGTGATTGAGATCTATTTGGGCGGTAATAAATACGATGCTTTTTCGTTCAACAAAAGCAACTCAAGCACATAGACACTCACACCCACGCACCCATGCATTCACTTCACATTCACAACACAAAAACTAAAAAGCAGATGGATGAATGAAATGTTGTGAAATCAAGAAGAGCGGAATTTTTAAGAAAATTCATTTTACTTCTATACACAAGATTTTTCTTTGCTTACATACATGAATAAAAACCTGCATTCGCAAAGAAACGCCCGACTCACGATTTTCTCTCTGTGTCGACATCGTTGTCGTAGTTTACTACTGTGTGATGGTATTTTTTCTCGAGTTCGTCATTCGATTTGTTTGATAAGCTTCTTTTTTCCTGATATACTTGACATATTTCGATAATTTGTCATATGAAGCAACGTAAACGAGTAACATCTTCGAGAAAAAAAATCATGACAAATAAACATAATGTTTGTTATCCTTTCGATTCGCCGCTACTAAAAATTTTTTTTTCGAAAGGCAAAACAAATTACAACTTTATGAACAAGTGAAACTACTTTTGGCTCACGTAATATATATTTTAACTTCAAGTGTGTGTTTTACTCATTTTACTTGAAAACTTTGGTAGTTTATGTTTTTCTTCGCTGTTGTATGGTCCATTCTTTTTCTCGATTTTGATTCCATTGGTTCGCAGAAGGCATTCGGTATTCTGAAATCACATTTCATAGAGTTGAAAACATACTTTTATGGTCGCTTTTATGTTCTCTTCAACCAACTTCGGAAGCAAAGACAAATACAGAAAAATTTAGTCATACGGATCTCTCTCCTCATCGAAAAAAAAATCGTGTTGTGATTGTGAAAAATTAAATTGAAATTTTGTTACCTAGCAAAAACGTTTTTTATTTAATTACACGTCAGGTAAAAGTATGCATGAAAAAAAGTTGAAAACATATGCGTCAATCAGCCTTAAGAAACATTCACGTGCAAACATTCCATGCGTTTTTTTTCTATACTATAGTGGCAAGTGCCTTCGGAAAATGTTTACATTTCATTCAACTGTACTAAACTGTTGCGTGGAAAAAATGGAATTTGAAAAATGCTGTGCATGATATCGACCTCTCTACTTGTAATTTGCACATGGCAAATTTGATAAATAAGACTCGTTGACGTAAGTTATTATATTTTATCGATAAGATGTTACAACAACAAATATTTCAACTGTAAACGTGCGAAATGTTTTGTTCAAAAAAATATTTACGTAGTTAATGGAACTCGCATTCCTTGTAGCTGTGTTACACGTGTTATTAACTTTGACAATTTGCATATAAAAGTATAAAGTTTCAATAAACTTCAGTAAAATCATTAGTTAGTAACAACTTGTTGCCGAATATTGTTTCATCAAATATGCGTCTCATTATTTTGATAATTTTTGTATTTGGATTTGAGGTAAGCCAACTGTTTTTCATATCATTTTCTAGAAATAATTAAATTACATAAACTAATTTGTATATTTTATTAGATCCAACAATTGCTTGGATGCATGGGTGGAAAACTTTTTCGAACTCAACCTGTTCAAAATATTGCATTCTTTGAAGAACCATTCAACAGCATCAATCAACATGGGCCAATGATAGAACATACCGCCCATAAACTTGCAGAAAATTTGAGCAGATTACCTTATCTAAACAACAATAATTCAAAAGCAATTCTGGAAAAGATTAGAAAGGTTGGTTCTATATCAGGAAAAATACACCATTCAACTATTTCGTGTATGAATCCAGATAAACATCACCGTTTGGCAAATTTCGATCATCTCAAAGATGTTGCATCGCAGTTTAAGGAATTATTGAGCGAAATTTGTGTTTCGGAACCAGCAAATATATTGGTTGCATATCTACCACGTTTACATGTTTTAAGCAGCGATGAAACAGCAACTTTAGTTGCAACGTTGACACAACTGGGCCAAACATATTCAAATCGAATTGATGAACTTGACACCAAAGTCATAGCAGTCACCAATGTTGCATCTGAGTGATGACTTAGAAAAAGTTCTATACTTCTATTGGCCAGCTTTCATTTCGCAAATGGTGCAGCTTGCTACCGACTTTTTATTTTTTTTTTGTCTTCGTTTCGAATGAAAATGAAATTTCGATAGTTTTTTTACACTTAAGCGTTAATAAATCCATTCATTTATTTCCATACTTCAGAGTTTTTAATTTGCATTTTCAGAATGCTTTGGTTGCCACAAAAAAATCCTAGGGGCGGAGCAGTACTAGAATAATAATTTTTGTTTAAAGTAATTCTATGTCGTGAGTAGTAATCCATATTAATCCGCAGTAATACACACTTGTGTAAATTCTAACAGCAGTGCAATGACGTTTCATGTGTACGTTGTGTATTACATTTGTTAGGAATAAAGCGATCGTCGTATATTGCGTATTGAAACAATTTATTCGATATTTATTAAATTAAATTCTTTATTTTCCATTTTTAACAATAAAATGTCTCATCCGAAATATACGGCGATCGCTTTATGCCTAGCAAATGTCTAGGGGACATTCATACTAGAAAAACTAGTGAAACTAGCAGCAACTAGCAGCGAATAGCAAGCACTAGCGTATTATAGTCCAAAGCAAATGAATTGAGGCATGTAAAATATATTGTAGCATGCGTAAGTCGCTTGCAAACGAACCAAGTGAATAGCGGAGACGCACGAAAACGAAGTGAGTGAATAGCGACAACGAACGTTGTTATCCGTTGCCGCAATACACTCACTTCGTTATCGTGCGTCTCCGCTATTCACTTGGTTCGTTTACAAGCGACTTAAGCATTACTGTTGTTTCTTTTATGTATCATACGATACGTCTAGGTAATTTCAAAATACTAGAAAAACTAGCAGCTACTAGCAGCACTAGTGTACTCACTTAGTAATACTAGTAAGCGATTAGCGAATACGTAAATAAAACTAGCTTACTAGAATTGCTACGAATGTCCCCTAGGCAAATGTCATACACAACGTACACATGAAACCTCATTGCACTGCTGTTAGAATTTACGTAAGTGTGTATTACTATGGATTAATATGGATTACTATGTACTCACAACATAAAATTACATTAAACAAAAACTATTATTTAGTACTGCTCTGCCCCTAGAAAAAATCTGATAGGTTAAGACGAATGTCGGCTGCATACTCATAATTTCACCATGTCATTTATGAATGGATTGCAGTTGTTATTTTGGTAGTGTATAATAAAAAAAATACAGATGGATCAAGAGAAGTGTCGTTGTAGTGAAAAAGTCACTGAAATTGAAAAGACTATTCCAAATTCTGACATGCTTCTATGACGTTCTATGTGGTCTTGTTTTTTTGTTTACATTTTATTTGAAAGAGTCGTATCAAAACTTTTCACATTAAACAATCTATTTGAGAGTCAACGGAAAAAGGTATTTTTATCCACACAAAAGAGATTTTTCCCCAGCTCTATTCTCTATTTTCTGTCAAATTTGAAATGAAATCAAATCAGATTGGCGTTGAAAATCATTTGATTTTTGGTCATTTCAGAATGTCGATGTAATTTTCATGTTAACGATGTTCGCCAGATCGATTCGCATTATCATTATAAGTAAGTGAGATGTTTGAACCAAGTAAAACAAAAACGGAGAGTGCTTCGTAGTGTATTGGTTCATTTGGACATTGAGTTTTCTCTCTCACACTCTCTCTCTCGCGATGGCGGTGATTCATGAAGCCAGAAAATATCAATGTCACAATGCATTATCATTAGCCTCGAGTGGAGAGTGAATCAAATGTTATTCGCGGTGAGAATGAGACTGGACAACAATCAACTAGCCACATTTTACGACAGCCCATCGAATTTTCGATGGCATTTCAATGAGTGGTTTTTTTTGTGGGTAAGAGGATGAGTGATTTTAACAGTATTTACTCAGTGGCACACTTAATGCGTTGAAAACAAAACGCAAAATTTATAGGTCTACTTGTCGTGAGTGTTGAGCGAGCGAATGTGTGATTCATTGAATTGATTTGTCTGTTTCATGACAATGATGACGGTCAACAGTGAGCGTTCAGCCGAAGTAGCTGTAGCAGCAGCAGCAGCAGGATGGTAAAAAGTATGATACACTGAGCACAAGAATCTATAATACTCGATTTGTAAGTGGAGCACAGGATAAAATGATGTTTATTTAGTTGAACGCTCGTTTCGCCCATCGTTGTCGCAAATTACGATTATATTCTACATGGCTATAATATCGATAAATGTTTGAGTGAGTGAGCGCGCCGACCGACATTGACTACGAAACCGGGCCCGACATAAAGATTAAAATAAACATTGAACTTTGTTCACGTAAAGCGTGATTTGGTCGCAGTCTCTCTCTTTCTCTTTCTCTGTCTCACAGTGTGTCGGCATGTGAGTGTGTTTTAGACATTTGCAAGATTCGATGAGAATCAGCACGACATGTCCAACGAAAATGTTGATTTAAAAATCGATTTCAGCTCAAATGGGAATTAATGGATTTTGTGTTGTAATTTATCTTTATTTTCTCTGAGCTCGAGCTCGAATTGCCTCGTATTGAACATCGCCTGAAACGCGTTCATCATTTCGTATTTTCGATTTGTGCCAACCTACTCTATCTACTGGCATTGGTGAAATATTTCAAAAACACGTAATTGGAATTTCCATTTCAACGGGGCCAATTTTTATAAATATTATTTGAACACATTACATTTTTTGAGACATCGAATCCAAAGCGTCGAACAAACAAACGAAAAAAAAAAACCAAAAGCAATTCAATCAAGAGACAAATAAGAGAAATTGTGATTTATGTGAATTCGAAACCATCTTTTGTCGGCGTCAAATCATATTCTGTTCCGGACAGTTGTCGTTTTTGATACGCAGAATGACTTGGCAATTATCCAATCAAACTGTACGCACATTCTCACATTTGATATTTTCGATTTTTCAAAGGAATCTCAGTTGTGAAAACGTGAAAATGTTCACTTATATAGAAACGTTGGCCATATCTTTATTCGGGCAGGTCTTCGTAGAAGGAGCATTGAATTTGATTACAGTGGCATAACAAATGCACGCATAAATTTAAATTCGAAATCATCTATGCAAATGACATTCTTGCTATCGTGTCACAAACACATACACAACAATTCAAAACTTCGATAGAGTTGAACGTTGCACGAAAAACAAATATAATAAACCGTTTTGCGACGGTCAATTTTGTCCTGATTTCATAAAACCAAACCCAGCAACACATTTTAAAATGGAATGCTACTGACAGCAAATCGCACATAATAACACCATGAAATATGTTCAATTGACTCAGGCGCTCTGTTTATTATTCGACTCATTTCAATGGGACCAGTTTCTCGCACCACCCCAACAAAAACATCAACTTTTCCAACACAAATTAACGAAGCGTAATTTAATTACACCAAAGGTAAACATGGCTATAATGTATCGCTTTGCGAATTCGATTTCGCTGTTGCAACGTTTCATATCAACGGACAGCAAATGAAAATCTATTATGGCAGACGAAGTCTTTTGAAAGCGCGAGCATTTTGGTTCGCGTATTTACAATGGTGACAAGTTGTATTCGATTGCCGGATATATTCTATTTTCCACTATGGATAAGTAAATTATGGCAATTTATCGTTGAATGCCGCTCATTTTTCTCCCACTCTATCATTCACACTGGTTAAAGGAACTGGCGCTTCGCTTATGGAAAATATTTTGCGAAATATTTGGTGGAAAATAGCGACAAAATTCCATATTCATTGGCAGCGGCGACAACAGACAGAAAAAAATTAAAGCCATTGCAATGGACCGTGTGTATGTGTGTATATTGTCACATTACATTAAAAGTGATCATGACGCAATCGCGACTCGAATTATTCACATTTTTCGTGTGTGTGTGTGTGTGTGCATTCAGGAAGGTTCGTCAATCGCATGAAATGTTATAATTACGAAGAACCGTATTATATTCCGATATATTTATCGGATGCATTTAACCGCTTATTACATACGATGTGTGTGTGACGATTTTTAAAGACTTCTTTCGAACCATCTGACTGTAAAAAATGCGTTCAATGCGTTTCGGAAAATATAGTAATAAAAACTCCAATAATATCGATGTATCGATGCGTTGAAAACATCCTTTGTTCAAATAAACACGAACAACACACAAACCATTTTAATGCAATTCATTTGCAGGTACGATATAAATATATAGTGATGATGGTGGCTATTGGAGTTTTTTTGTTTTCATTTTGCACATACAACGTGAATTCGATAGATTCAATTTAATGCACGCTCGCACATTAATTCATTTTGCCTGGATGCCTTCGATCGTGTTCGCATTGCATTTGCCCCGTAACCCATTTTTGTTGTCGTTGTTGTTGTTTTTGCTGCGGTCTTTTATTTTTTGATTTTTGCATATTAATATTTCCATTTAAATTGAATATGAATTCAACTTGTGAACACCACGCTTTTTTCTCCGATCATTTTATTCGAATTTTCCATTCATTTGCAAAACAATTTGTATGCATGTAAAGGCACCAGTGGATATTGAGCTGGAGAGAGTACCGAGAGGAGAGAGCGAAATATCGATGGAATTGAATCTTTAAATGGGTTCATATACATATTTTAGGCGAATATATAAAGGCACACGAGAGTTTGAATATATTGAAATGAGTGAGTGAAAGCAGACAAATGACAAAGAGACAATGGAAATTGGGTGAAAAAAATATCGAGCGAAAAAAGGTGAGACAAAATTGTATGCCTGCAATGGCATCCACTTCAGAGACCGACAAAAACAACGTGAAATTTTCTGTCAGCACAGACGAGCGAGCAAGAGAAAAAAGAATCGTTAATTTTTCGTTCGGTTGGTCTTTGTAACAACGGCTCTGATAACCTAGACAGATAATCTTGCACATACGTCTAATAACATGTAACGAGATTTCGATCGTTTTAAAAGTAACCCATCGCACGTGATCCAAACCAAATGGAATGTCATTTGCTGTTTTCTTTTCGTTCAGCAATTTTCGTTGTTATTGTGTCACGGTGTTTCTCGCAATCGACAAAATCTTTTAAACCAACCCATCTGATTATGTGCACTTTTTGTCTCCGTATTTCGTGCAATTTCTTAGTTTCTTGTCGTTCTCATTCTTGAAGCG